CAGACTTGCTACTTGCAATAGATAGATTTCATAGTATGTAAATTGTACCTCCATAAAAAGATTTAAGGACAGAACTATGTGACTAGCACACGAGTCAGATTTGCCTTCCAGTTGGCTATGATGGGGGATTGCACGGCCCTGCTGTTTTCACCCATCCATTGATTCCACCTCTAATTTGAAGACTTCTGTCTGCCCATTTGTCCACCCATTCTGTAAGTCATCATCCACAGCACCATTGCTTTGAAAGAAGGTTTTGGTCAAGAGTAATGAATTAGACAGAAAATCTAGTGCAAAGAAGTTGTAGTTATTAAAGTTATGCTTCTTAAGATATGGCAGAAAGGAGGGGAAGATGTTTGGAAAGTGAGAATTTACCTTGTAGACTGAATATGTGCATATAAAATGATATTGTCTTTATTCTTTAGATAGAATACTCAGAATCTGTTGCTCTAGGGAGTAGAAAATACTGATTAAAAGCTCTGGCTTCAGTCAGATTTGGGTCATGACTTTCCGTGCCTTACACATGTGCAGCACCATCTTTGAACCTCAGTTGTTCCATCTGTAAAACAGGGTTGATAATTCTGCTGTGTAGAGTTGCTAACAGAATGAAATGGGATAATGCATGTAAATCAGCTATGATTACCAAGCTCATAGCATGGGCTCAAAAAATGTTAATTATGATCGTTACTATACCCGTGCCAGACTCTAAAGATTCGCCCAGTGTATCCTTTCTTTTTCATAAAGATTAAAATTGCATTCTCCCCATGAGGATCTGTGTCCTGCTCTTTTTCAAGTTTCTATGTAACATAGTTTTGTGTCCTACAGAAATGATTTTTCTGTCTCTGAAACGTGGGAACATTTATGCCGCTCATATTTCACTACATGTGGATTGCCTAGTTTTGATGCCTCCCCATATGTAACTTACCTCTTCTTAGAGTTTGTAACATAGCTGTGCACAGGGGATATTTTAAATACCTTTGCACTTCCGGATGCTTGTCCCCAAATTGGGTACCTATTTAATCCTGGCTGGACGGTTGCTCCCTCACTTGTGGTAAGGTGGCCTTGAATAAGTACTGCAAATGGTGGCCTGCATTATTTAAACAGACAGTTATTGTGGCACAGTGGTGAGACTCACTCACAATGGATTCGGCACTAGGTTTGTTCCATGGCCTTTCCCCGACCTTGGGATAAAATTTTCCCTACTCCTTGCATTGTGAGTGGACAGGGCACATGTTTGATAGAATGATGTACATTGGAAAATCTTCTATTTTTCTTACTGTAAATTAGAATGTTTAAACCATTTTGTTTTAATTAACAATAATTGTGCATGTTTATGGATTATAATGTGGATGCTTTGAGATGTTTGCAGTGGTGTTTGGAAAGTTTTTACCCGTGCTGTCAGAGGCATGTAGTAAGAAAAGTTCAAGTCACCCAGAAACAATGAGAAGAGAAATACAGCACAGAGCACGTATGAGAAAAGATGAACCTGTGGCACTGGTTCCAGTCTCACGATGAGTAGAAACATGACAGCTACTTATCGGTCAGCTTTGATGCAGCATTTGAAGGACAGGCTCTTCGGGCAGAGGGAGCTCTGGTGCCTAAAATCATTCCTGGAGTGAAAAAACCTTGCAGTCTTGGTAGTGAGCTCCTTGAGTCTTTGAAGTGTTCTCAAGCGCCAGAGGCTTTGGATTGCTAACAAATTCACCTCTTAGTCCTCTTGTTACTGGGGCAGTCAGCAGTTACAGGTCACAGACATGAGGCTTGGAGTAACACCACTTCCCCAGGGATGTGTAAGTATTTCCCAGCAGCCCAGGAAGTGGTACATTTTCCGCTTTTTAACTGCTAAGTTTTGCTGTGGGAAAAGGTATACACTGACATACTGGGAGCAGACAGAGCTTGCACTTGGCCAGACCTGACTGAAAACCCTGGCACTGCCGCCACGAGCTGGGTGTTGGTGGATTTGAGGCTGGAGCTTCTCTTTTCTTATCTCGAAATTATAGCACTGTTATTCTGAACTTCATCATTACTGACTGCATCGCGTCCTCACCACTGTGGGCACTGCGTATTGATGAGACTCTGGATACGTGTGTAGCTGGAGCTGTTCCTAGTGGTTTCCGTGCATCAGCCCACTTCACTTTCTCAGCTACATATTGATAAGATGTATTATGCTAGTATTATCCCACATAAAATATCCAGTAGAATTTTATTGGTAATATTTAATAAAATGTATTTTAATCTTCCAGATTAAATATAACCTAAGTGTGGTTGGTTTAAAATTCTATTTCAAAGATAAAAGCATCCTAGAATCTCATTGTTGAAATGAATTAATTATGGAAGTTTGTCTAGTCCAGCGATTTCTGTATTTTCTAATCCCCAAATTGTTGTTCTCATGATCTACATGTCAAAAATATGGAAACAGCTATCCTGTTGAATTGGGCCAGGGGACTTGAACTCTGTGTAACAATTTATCTGTGCCCAGAGCTCTGAGGAAAATGCACTGAAAATTACTGATTGTCTTCATTTCCCAGGATATGTACCTAGATAAACAAAGTGATTTATAATATTTCTCATATGCAGACTCTGAATTACAAATTACATATCTTGATTCCTAGATCTATTTATTTCTATGAGACCACAGTGTATGATTCTACATAGAAATTATTATTTGCTAACATTCACTGACTCAAAAATAATAAAATACCTTTGGATGTTTTATACTGGAACTTTGCAACTTTTATAAAGGTCTAATCTGTTCCTCCTAGATCACCCCAAAGTGCTCTATGATATGTAAACAGTTTCCTCTTGGAAATTTGATGGGTGAGGTTTAGGCTTAGGGCTGGGGTTAAAGTTAGGACTGGGGTAGTAGAGCAAGAGGGGAAAATTAGAGGCAAAACATATTGAAAAATTCTGATGACTCTAAAATAAGCAAGTACATTGGGTGGACATTTGTCGTGAGAACACTTTTAGTCCTGTGTGATTTCGGGCATGGCTTCTGATGGACACAGTGAGAAGACAGCACACCTTGTGCCTGGTGTGAATGGCTTCAGTAAGAACCTTGAAGGCTAAACCTCCTGTGGGTGAATTAGCAGAAAAATCACTGTGCAAGGGAAGACATGCCTGTCAGCCTTGAGTCTAGGCTGTGGTCTACAAGGGAAAATTTGCATTCCCAAAAGCTTAGCGCTACAATTTATTCTTGGTTAAGTCCCATCCCCAAGGCGAAAGTGTAGTTTACACTGATCTTACGTTGATAATTCCCCCAGGCAACTGACAGAATCAAGCACGAATACTGTCTGAGGAAATGCAATTTAAAGCCAAAACTCAAATGATTGTCACAGGTTAAATTCCAAAGGATATGAGGTTGCAAATAAAAGAATTCCTTGAAACACAAAAGCATCTTGTGTGACACTTAGCATGAACATCAAACTACATGATTGTGTGTATACAAATTGAAAATATTGGAATTATTCATGTAAAAATGCATGTGTAAAGTGTTTAAAAGAAATAAAATTAATAAACTTAAAATATGAAAGAATAAGGGGCTATCAAATGTGACCAAACAGGGTAAAAATGAATCAAACAGTATTCTAGAAAATAAAAATATAGTAAGTAAAAATTCCACCAATATCAGTGACTAAAACAGAATGTGGCAGAGCTCAAGATAGAAATAATAACTGAAAGACATATCTGGAAATCATTCAGTCTAGAGAGGAAAATATATGTATTATATGAAAACAAATCTAAACAGCAGGAAGAAGTGCTCACAGAGACAATGTTTGAAGAAAGAATATTTGATAATTTTCTAAAATGATGAAAGAGTTCCTTGACACTAAGACTCAAGAATTCCAAGACCCTAAATAAAAATGAATGCACAGGTATAGATCTTAAAGTAAAACTAAAGAATATAAAGCAAATCAGTCAACGATCCAATCTAGCAGTCCAACAATCAACCATCCAGTGAGCAACCAGCCAACCAACCAGTGAGCCAGTGAGCCAATGAGCCAACCAGCCAATCAACCAACTAGTGAAATAAACAAAAAATTGATCTTTAAAGTAAGCAGAAAGAGAGGAGATAGCTACAGACCAAGGAATTAGATTAGCAACTAATACTCCCTAATGATCAATAGAAATTATAAGAATTGAAATAAAATCTTAAATATGTTGAGATAGTAAAACTATATATAGTAGAACTGTAAACTATGAAGATAGTTTATGAACATATTCAGATGAATTAAAATCTAATACAGTAACTATTAAAGATCTTCACTAAAGGAACTTCCTAAGGAAGAAAAATAATTACTCTGAAGAGATTCCCAGTAATTCTGGAAGGAATATTGAGCAAAGAAAATGTTACATATGTGCTTTAAAAAGACTGCCCTGTAACGTGTTTAAGTATGTCTGTAGCAATGTTGTTTATAATTCAAAATGTGAAAATAACTCAAAATAAATTGTGGAATATTTATACTATGGAATAGTATACAGAATTGGCAACCGATACCTTCAGGCATTAACTTGAATGAATAGAACAAAGCACACTGTATAGACTTGCACAACATAATTTTATTTCTAAGGACATTAAAATGTCCAAAGCTAAGTGATATTTATTTGAGAATAAGAGCTTGTGTATGACTAAATACTAGATATGTGAAAGAGAGAAATCAACACAAAATCCAATATTTTGTGTGATTGTAAGTTTTATGTTAAAACACTTACAAAGGTTAATTATATAAGAAGGAAATAAGAAGAATATTTGGGGGCAACATGGGTAAAAAGCCTTCTGTAGGCACGACTTTAGCAATCTGAGTATCCAGGAAAAAGAACCCGTAAGCGATGAGGTGATCCTAAGTTTCCTGTCTCTTTTCCATCGTTATCCACCCCAGCTTTGTACATTGTTAATATGTGTTTTCATGCACTGTGACAGGTAGTGACAAACGTTTTGTGTTTTGTTATCTGGGAATCTTCTATTTCCTCCTTTCCTGATCTGAAGTTTTCTGTGCATCTTACAGGTCATAACTTCTGCATGGAAGCGCCTAAATGTGGTGAAAACTCAGAATGCAAAAACTGGAATACGAAAGCGACTTGTGAGTGCAAGAGTGGTTACATCTCTGTCCAAGGAGACCCCGCCTACTGTGAAGGTAAGGAGAGGAACAGGCTCCTGAGAGATGGGGTAAAGACTGAAAGCCATCGCTGGCCTTTGTTCCTGGGGGCTTATAAACACCCTACATTACTCCAGGTGCTCTGCTCTCTGGCTTTATCCAGGCTACCTCACCTGAGAGAACAAGGTCCTGGAAGCTGGTGAGGAACGCAGGGACTCAGCACATCCCATGTTGCACTGTGTCTTCTGACCAGAATGATCCTAACACTTGGCTTCCACTTTCAATTTTGAGGAGACTGCCATCTCCAAGTTTAGTTATGTACTGTGTGCTGGATTCTCTTCCGATAGCGTTTGGCATTTGTTTAATCCCAGCTGTCATCTTTTTCAGGTGTCAAGGTCAGGGTTTTTTCAGTTGGATTTCTTAGTGACTGTTTCGTGTGCTGCCGATTACAGATCTTTAAGAATCGCAGTGATAGCACTCATGAGTTTGGCTCCTGGGCTGAGCCCATTACACTGGGTTTCTGTGGTGCAGTTTTCTACTCCACAGAGCAGAGCAACTCCTCTGTTGCATATGAATGGCTCTTTCCAAACTCAGCTTGGTGGTGGGCGCCATGTGTCCTGCTCCTTTAATATGGCAGAGGTGTGGCTTAGCTCTTCCTGTGTAGGGGTGCTGCTGCAATACCTGAGCCCACCCTTTCCTGAGGTGCCCTCTGGCTCTCCCCTGTCAGATTAGAAAACTTCTACCAGGCAAGGGGATGACTGGACACTCTTCCTGTCCCAGTTCCTATCATTGCGGTCATTCCTTTTACTGTCACTAATTAAATGCTAAGCCATGGTGATCTGGTAATTGGGGAGGTAGCTTTCTTGAGTTAAGTAAGTGGTGTAAATCTGGTCACTGCTCCTCAAGTATTTGATTCTGAAGTTGGTATTGAGAGTTCTCAAGGTAAGGATAACAGTGAACTCTGCCAGTAAGAGTAAGTAAACTCCTTTCCCTTCTTCACTTCTACATCATTTCTCCTCGGTTAACTTTTTGGGTTTGGCTAAAGACTAGCAGTTGTTGAGGAAAGTATCTATTTGCTTCCAGGGTTGGTAGTCGGTTGTTTTCATAGCTTCAGGAATATTGTTAATTTGTCCTTTCCTTTTAATTAGCAGTACTCTAACAATTTTTCCTTTTCTTTCTGATACCTTTTTATCCTTTTGCTTACTTATAGATGTGTTGATTAGAGAATGAAGCTGCTCTTTGACTGGAACCTTTTTATCTACCCTTTAGTATCATGTTACTGCTTTGTTAATTTGGGGGAAGTGGATTGTAAGTTTGAATAATTTACACTAAAGTCTATTTTTAAAATTTTACCTTATCAGTTTTCTAGCAGAAAATTTAAATCATTAAAAGAATAATTAAATTATGAGCAGTCTGTCTTTTCCTCACCATGGAAAAAAATGCTATCAGATAGAGTCTTATAAACTAAAAAGCTTACTTTCCTACTTTCTGCTTTTTGTGGAGATGGATTCTGAACAATTACAATACTGATGGCAAGAACATGGAAATAATTTGGATCTTGGTTCCTTGAACACTGGCAGACCTTTTACTTGTCCCGTGGATTCAGTGCACCCCATTCCTGGCCCTCCTGAGATAGGGAGGTGTGGAAGAATGGGGGAGAGAATTGCTGACCCTAATTCTCTTTGCTTGTGTCCTCCTCCATGACACTATTTTGCCCCTTGGACTCAGCTCAAAGAGCAGCCCCTGTGACATTAAACCTGCCTTTGTGGGAGCCATGCTGATACGGTGCTGAGTGGCCTTAGGTCACTCTTCTTGCACAAGTCCCACTTAGCTCAGTGTCTTCACTGGCCATGGTGGTCTGTGTCTTCCTTGGGTGATGGGTGCTTCTTTGGGTGATGGTGATGGGTGTGGGCGTCAGTCATCTCTCCATTTTCCTGGGGATTTACTACAAGGGCACTTGTTCATGGGAGGCCCCTAAGGAGAAATAACTGAATGAATGGGGTTTTCTAGTTTACAGAGCTCAGAGAGGACAGCAAGGTTGAAACCCAGGGGGAGTGGCTCTGAGAATGGAATGGAGTCTGCATTGCTTCCTCCCTTAGCCAGCAGTCTGGCACATGTCCCCTGTTTGCATGGTGGCTGCTGTAGCCACAGCCGTGGTGAGGCCTGGCAGCATCCCAAGCAAGCAAGGAAGGAAGGAGCAGGAAGCATAAATCTCTTTATGTGCAGTTATGTCTTTTTATGTTGAAAGAGTTTCCTTCCGAGAAAGGCTTCCCAGCCCCACCTCTACCATGCATAGAAAGCTTGGCCTGTCTTAGTTTTCAGATCTGTTAAACTAAACTTAGTTAAACTAGTTAAAGCCCCGTGTTCACTATACTCTTAGACCAGTGTTGAGGAAAAGGAAGGAAATGACCACTACTGGCTTCAGCTAACTTATCATGCTGCAGAGCTGGAGTAGTCTGTCTTTCTTGACAGCAAGTGATCTTTGTCCTTTGTGTGAACCAAATAGGGAGGCAGCAACAGAAAAGGTTAGGAGTGGCTTTTGGCGGGGGGTGGGGGGTGGGTGGGTGGGGGAGCTAGGATTATTTTACATTTTTAATGGTTAAAGTGAGTTTGTGACCATTTTCCTAGCTCTGTCTTAAGAAATGTCCTCTGGAGTAATCTGTCAGACAAGTTTAGTGGTAGGTACTGAAGCCTGGTCTTACTGGCTCACCCTAACCTAAAGAGAACTAGATAATTCAGAGACTGCTTCATGCAAGCTGTTTTTTACCCTGTGTGAATGGAGCGAAAATGGCCCATGTTGTTAAACCCCAACGAACAAGACTGGCTTGCAAATTAGAACACAATCTTACTTGCATTGTCCAGGCCATCTTGAAAAGCCTATTTGGGCTATTAGTGTGAGAAGAAGCAAAAGGCTTTCAGTTCTCCTAACTTCCTAGGGTAGTTGCAGAGCTGTGGTATATTAAGGACTCCCGCTCCATAGAGATTGTTGGAGAAGAGAAAAGATAGCGGAACTCCTGGCCAATCAATGGGAAATAATAGGACCTTTTGTTGGCGATGATACAATTCACGGGAGGCTGCTTCTTTTTGCAATTCAGCTTGCAATTCAAGCTGGAACTGTCCTTATTTTGAAGATGGTCTTACTTGGATTTTAGTATTTAAGAACCTGATAAGCAGAAGCGTTTTCTCTTTGTGATGACATTTTCTATTTTTTTTTTTTTTTTAGCTTCAGAGAATTTTTTTTTATTAAGGAGGAAAAGAAAAAAAAGCAGAAATAGGGTACAAGTTATACAGAATTTCAGAAAAAAATAAACAATAGGAAATCCCTAGTTAATAGATTACATATTGTTATCTTAGAAATAGTTGTTCAAGTTACAAAATTAAAGCATATAAAGTGGACTTTCAAACAGTGAGACTGCAAACAGTTGTGTTCAATGATCCAACAAAACTCAGTAATATGGTTATCTATCTTATACGTTTAAATATATATGCGGTTATATTCTTTAGAGCACTTTCTTTTCCTTTCTTTTGTACAATGACAATTACACATTTTGGGTTTTATTCCTCCCACAGTTCTTATTACTTTTTTTAAAGAGAATAAAACCAAATGTGACATAACAGAACAGAGTCAGTCAAATCAAAAGGATGAACCTAATAGATAATGTAAAAATAAAATACTAGGTACTCAACAATGGTTACCACACTGCCTCTTGCTATCTTAAAAAGAATTGCTTATATCATCACTTATAATAAAATTGAACAAAACAGTAAAGAATAAAACCAAAACATTGGAGACATTACAGGGCTTTAAAAGAAGATAATAGTCACCCGGAATGGGCATCATAATGAATCTTATTGTCTTCACAGTTGTTGCCTATACTTTAGAACTTGGTACTATCAAGCAAAGCAGAATAGAGGAAAATCAGTCAAAGCAAGATGGTGAGGGCTATACAGGGTTTCAAATCAAGTTAATAGGAAATCAAAGTGGATTACTGTAATAATATATCCTGCTTTTTTATTTTTCCCTTAATTAAAAAGAAAAAAAAAGTAAATAATTTAAAAAAAGGAGACTGAGATAAAAGAGGGCATAACAACAAAACAGCGCAGGTCAAAGCATAACCATTTAAGTAAAATAGTGCTTCACCATAAGATATCCTGACATAAAAGTAGTTACCATAATGTTTCTTTCCTTGAAGTCTTTGAGTATAACTTCGTATACTGTAGCACCAAACATATCAAGACAATGCATCTTAAGCAGTTTCTGGCCCATTATTTTAGACTAGAAGTAACCTCCGGGGAAAGTACAGCAACTGGGTCCTATTGGTGGTCTTTCTTCTTGAATTTGGCTAGCATAGTCTTGTAAACTGTGTGTTCTTGCAGTAAGAAGTTATTTTGATGAATGAAAAATACTGTGATGTCATCTGCACTCTAGACTCTGCCATGTATATTCAGTACGACGAGTAGCCTCAAATGCTAACACCTCTACCTGCAGAGTGTTGTGAATTTTCCAGATGCCTTTTATAGCTGGTGTACTTTCTGAGGATTAAGTAAATCTGTGAGGAAGTTGGCAGTATTGGGTCATTAATGCCCCATTTTACAAATGCACATGTGACAACCCAGAGAAATGAAGATAAACCTCAGTGTATTTTTACTCCAGGCCTTATGCTTTGATTTGGCTTTTGCAAACACTCCCACCACTCATACTTTTCCAGTATCACACTGCTGTTCAAAATATTTGCTGCCTAATTATTTTGTTCTGCATTTGATGTAGTCAAAGAAATATAAGCGGGTGTGACCTGTGTCACTGTCATTTCAGAGTGAACATGCTAAAACGTTTGCAGGACTCTACCTCATTTTCTTTTCTGTCTGGCACAAAACCTGACAGTGTTCAAGATCAGGAGTTGTCTTTTAGCCAGTGTTCCAGAATGAGGATGACATGGAGCCGGTGACAACTGACAGGTGATGGATGCATGACATGAGTGAAAAATAATCCTGTTTACACAGGAATGTGTGGTTCTTGGATGTAGTGCTGAGAGGCAGTT